TAAAAAATGGGTAATAAATAAGTATAGAGCGAAATTTGGAACGAATTTGATTCTAAGTGTCTTCTTCTTACTGCCCGAAACAGCCCGGACTTTTTTCTGGGTAAAAGCGGTTAAAGTGTCGAAGTGCATATCAGCTGTTTTGTGTTTACATGTTGCTTGCATTTTAGTGCTGAAAAACGGAAGACGAGGCCGATCTAGGAGGGGTTGAAAGCTAAGGCGCGATATACGGCTGCCGTCAAGATCTGCGACCGACTTAGCGATAGGTCCAACCGGACACAGGAGGAGGAGAAGGAAAAAAGGTTGCTTTGGGCTTGGGAGCAGGTAGAGAACGGCCGAGCGTACTACGCTGCCAAGCCACAATTCTCAGCTAAGGATCCGAAGTTCGCAAACCGGGTCGAGGAGCGGATTGTGGCGGCGCAGGCGAGCAAAAGCCAGCGGTTTTTTAAGAAACATAAATGTAGGGATGATGCTACAAGGCCAAACGTCATACAGATCATACAGAAGCACTCTACATCCAAGGCAGCGGCGGCGACCAATGTGATTGCCAAGCGACATCTGGCGGTGGTAGTGGAAGTGGGTGGAAGGAAGTGGAAATGAAGCTGCTTAAACGTTATTCGCGAAAATGGACGCGGAGTCGAATGCGCCTTTCCGACATTTGACGAAATAAGGTGGTGCATCGCCATCAAAATCATAATTTGTAAGGATGATCTCTCTTTAGCATGGGTAAAGGGAGCGGCGAAAGACCTCCAAGAGTGGCATACCTCGAGGTAGTACACCGCAGCGAGGTGAGATGGACACTGTGTCCAACCCAGAGAAGGAGCCGGAATGTAATGCTTAAGGTCATTCAAATAAATCTCCATACAAATAAAATCACTTCATCCGAGCTCCTCCTCAGCTTAGAAGGGGCCAGCGACGATGCGGCTTTAGTCCAGGAATTTCGGCTCGCTTCGGGCAGCCTCAAGTAGGAAAACTACACTATATATTTTCCCAACGCGCATAATAAGGTAAGAATGGCAGTTATGGTAAAGAAAAATTGCGCTTTTTTTTATTGATAGCTAAAGGACGTCAACGATGAATCGCTGCTAGTTTCGTTTTGCTACATGGCCCACGACATCGAAGCACCGCCGAGGCAGCTTCAAAGACTGGTACAAGTGGCTGGCAATAGGAAGCAACCGCTTATAGTTGGATCCGGCGTAAATGCCCATCATTCGGTGTGTAC